ATATATATATATATATATATATTAAAGAAAACCAACTTTGGATAATTATTACATTGGTTTATTGATTGGTCAGTCATATGTACTAAAAATGTATGACCACAGTTTAAGAGATGGAAGGGAGAGCCATGTAACACACAAAAGTACAGCAAAGAAACACAAAAGTACAGCAAATAAACTTTTTGGAGACTATCCCAAAAGATTGAAATTTGTTATTCAGTTAAAATGTGCAGAAATTACACTTTTACTCCACTTTCCTGTGCACGTATCGTATTGGCACCTGCCTCTTCTATGTAGAAGCCTGTTGTTGTAGAACAAACTTCACCAAGGGACACACAAATCTGCATCCGGTCGGATATGAGTGGCTGGGAGTTGCATTCTCTGAGTCTGACAAAATGTGTCGATTGTGTGTATATGGGTGTGTGTGTGTGTGCACAGCAGAGTCACTACAAAGACAGAGAAACAACACAAAGACTGAGGTTTGTCAAATAGAGCTTAGGTGGCGCAATTATCACTTGAAACTGACACTATCTTCAGGCTCAAACCAACCTGTAAATGTGTGACTATCAACTATAAATGCAAATATATATTACTTTACACATTTACTATATTTTTTCCAAATATACCTTAATCAAACATTTTGCAATAGTGTTTAAACGTCACTACTTATCTACTTTTACTTCCGCAGCTTGAATTCAATTTAAATCATAATACCGTAATTCCCCTAACAGAGAATTGGCAACTGCGGTCCCATTATCTGAATTGGTTCAGTTTTGTATTTTATCAAAGAGCAGAAGGCCGTTATTTTATGTGACCCGCCGCGAGCAGAGTAAAGTAAGGACGTGTTTCCTGTGTGGAAACACGTCCTTACAGATTTCCACGCACATAGAGCGAATACAAATTAGCAAACGGTATGTATAAATTAATAAAGCACTTATACTCACAAACCTGAATTTGCAGACCTGACAATAAGACACTGTCCGATAATATAATCACAACGCCTACACCACCAACAATGTTCAGCGAAGGGCTGCAAGCTCCGAAGCCAATTGGAGCGTTTTCCTGTACGTCACCGTACTTCCGTCTTCCGTCCTTCGTCGATTTAAAGTGCCATGCCACAAGCACATTATGTACAGTACCACACCAATGATCAATTGAATGTTCACTGTTTAAGATGGGGTTATAAATGTTACACTCATTTTATTCCGTAGTAATAAAGTAGAAATAACTTTGTAGTTTCATTAGTTTACTTCTTGTAAGTATATTTCCGTTGAAATTAAGGGTGAGGCTCATGTGTAGGGGAAGTATGTTGGATCACCTCAGTTTTTACAATAGTGCACAGCAGGCAAACCAAATACTTTTATTATTATTACTGTATATTGCCTGTGTGCTCCTCACAGACTGTATAACAAATGGACAGAACAATTTATATAAAGACCACTATTTTGGAAGTAGACTTACTATTATTAAAGTCAATAAACAATGAGAGTGATAGTGTTAAAAGATTAGATAGTTGTGTAGCTGGATGGAAAGATGGGTTCATGGTAGGTGTTTGCTTCATAGCAACGAGTAATAGAGGTTGATAGGAGTCAGAGAGTGTACTTGTGTAGCTACAGGGGAAAGAGACAGTAGGAAGAATGGATGTGTTCAAATACCAAGTCCAGTCACTAAGAGTGCAGGAACTGTGAAATGGATGATAATGTGTGAAAGGGGAAATGTATAACTGAAAATTACAAACAAAAATTGAAAGGGAAGTATTATAAGATAATAATGTGACCTGCTTTAATGTACTGAATGCAACAATGTCACTATCAAAGAGACAGATGGTAGATGACAGATGAACAAACAAGCTCATACAGTTTATTCTTAGTGTATCTTTTACTTAGTTTGAAATAAAAACATGAAAACAAAGTTTCTTTGTTTTTTATACTAATATTGATGTATTTATGGTGTAAAACTAAGAAAAGACATCTAAGAAAAAGAGAGGGACTATACAAAGTAAGCTGCGAGGGCAGCCATTTTGTCCTTGGGCTTTTTAGGATTGCCACGGCGTCCTCGCCCTCGGCCTCGGCCTCCCCCCCGCCTTGCGCCCCCACCTCGGTGTCTCATTGTGGCATGTTTAAGTTCCACCAGGTCCTGGAAAATTGAATCACAAAACACGCAACCTGTGTGTTGTGTTTCCCCAGCAGGAAGTGGTGTACGAGACTTGTTGAAATCAACTGCAACCAGAGATGCATCGCAGATTTCACAGCTGTCTGGAGCAACCTGTGGAGGAAGAGAAGAACCCAGTTTCAGACTTGTGCAGAAATGTAATGTAAAGGATGAGGCATTTTTAAAGTCCCAAACTAACCAATGAGCTGAAAACTGTTATCTGTGAAGTTGTCATCACCTGGCTTCTACATGTCATCTGTGTTGCACCATTGTTCTTTTCACTTCCAGATCTGATAAACTAGCACTTTCAACTAAAAAAAACACTTTTTTTTACTGTATGAATGAGACTAAAAAGAAAAGTCAATAAACAATTTAATGACCTAAACAGAGTTGAAAATATTCGAACAGACTTACATTCACGATAAATCACAAAACCAATTGCAACATCTTTGGATTTTCTCCAGTTTCAGCATTTAACTAGTCGGCAACCAGATCGCTTTACCGGTTTCTTATAATGGTCATATATTTGGCTCACCTGCACTCTATGTGCATGTTCAAAGAAGTGCACCAGCACATTGCATTTATTACAGGCCATCCTCCATTTTGGTCCTGAGGTTGGGTCCAGTACCAAAACCCCTGAATCACACTCCACACATTGCCCAATGCCCAAAGAGTTGAGAGAGTGTTGACAGGATGGGTGGGTGCACTCATTGCATCCCATACCTGAGAAAGAAAAAAGAAGATGATCAGGAGTTATTTTGATAAAATCCATATATCTCTAACTTCCTTTGAACATCTGAACCATATCTCTTTAACCTCATCTCCAAACTACTTAGCCTTAAAGATTATTTTTAAACAGTTACACGGTCAGTTTGGATCTTTTTAATTAACCTTTTTTCATGTCCCTGAAAGGTGGGTTGCTGTAGCAGTAAGGGCACAGAGGGTAGCTCTTGCCCCGGGCCCCAGAGGTCCACAGCACAAGCTCAAATTCATCCAGTGGACAGCGAAGCTCCTTGTACAGCTTGATGGCTCCATTCTGGGGAAGGCTGTAGGTCTCATCACAGTGGGAGCAGTGGAGCCTGCTGGGCTTAGCCTGTAGGATCAAAATGACCAAGGATGGGGTAAGACTAGGGTTTAGGTCCCTGTATGAACATATCAATCATAGCTGAATTGAATTGAGTTTTTCACCCCATCAAAAAAAAAAAGGTATGGTATATATTGTATAACAAACTTCGGGGGTGCTGCGGAGGTTAGCGCTCAGCTGCAGCAGAGAGAGCACGGGAGTGGCGACGCAGGTGCAGCTCCACACGCAGGTGAGCGCAATTTGTGTAATTAAACCTCTCCCTATATTAGTAGAAGCCTGGACCGAGGAGGGAGAGGGGCGGGCAGAGAAGTATGTGCTGGCTCAGCAATGACACAAAGTGCAGTGAAAAAGACAAGTGCGATGCAGGAGCACATCATATTAAAGTCAAACTCAAATAAAGTCCATTGAACAGTCACCTGTGTCGGCGTGTGTTAAGGGAGAACTTGCATACTACACAAACCTTGGCAAATGATAAAACCATTCAAAACCATCAATGTCATTCATGACTCCTAATTAGGTCTGACGCATATATTCAGGGCACGTGGATCAATCTGAGCCCACATCACAGTCTGACAAGCCTCCCACAGGACATTCATTCAATGGTTACCTTGTGTTTTCCATTAAAACACACCATTTAGTAGTTACATAAATCTCTGCCACGCTTATACTGGGATAAAATAGCAATGACCAAGAGCTCTCTGGCCTCATGATTTATTTATGAAATTCAAAAATGGTTTTTCCATCAGGGAGAAATGGTAATTCATAATTCCGCCTTCCGTCCTTCGTCGATTTAAAGTGCCATGCCACAAGCACATTATGTACAGTACCACACCAATGATCAATTGAATGTTCACTGTTTAAGATGGGGTTATAAATGTTACACTCATTTTATTCCGTAGTAATAAAGTAGAAATAACTTTGTAGTTTCATTAGTTTACTTCTTGTAAGTATATTTCCGTTGAAATTAAGGGTGAGGCTCATGTGTAGGGGAAGTATGTTGGATCACCTCAGTTTTTACAATAGTGCACAGCAGGCAAACCAAATACTTTTATTATTATTACTGTATATTGCCTGTGTGCTCCTCACAGACTGTATAACAAATGGACAGAACAATTTATATAAAGACCACTATTTTGGAAGTAGACTTACTATTATTAAAGTCAATAAACAATGAGAGTGATTGCTGCCACGCTTATACTGGGATAAAATGGCAATGACCAAGAGCTCTCTGGCCTCAGGATTTATTTATGAAATTCAAAAGTGTTTTTTCCATCAGGGAGAAATGGTAATTCATGAAGTGCACTGAAGTTTTAAGGCCACAGCAGCCAGACATCATCAACACCACACAGGACTAAAAATGTTGACCTCTTCCGCTTTCTCTTGTTCTTGTTCCCTTACATCAAGTTCAGTAAGGGAGGATGAGCTGGGTGCACTGCTATCCCAGAAGTCTTCCAGAACTGGGAACTAAATTGATTCATTTTGGAATTTATTTGTTTATACATATTAGCAGGTCCATTTCAACAACCCTCACCAAATCTAAAATAATCTAATAGATTCCAGGGTTTACAAATCACAATGTAAGTACTGCATTGCAGCAGCAGGTTAATGAGATGAGCCTTTTGATATGACTTTTTCCTGCAGACCTGAATGTACTTCATGTAGCGGTGGCATTTGCCGCAGCGAGACAGAGGCTTTCCCGTGGCAGCAATGGGAGAAAAGGAGACTTCCATTAACTCGTCCATACCTATAGAAAGAACACAAACAGATAGGCTTTGGATGAAAAGGAACACTCACTTACAGCTGTGCTTGAATAAGTTAATAGCAGGAGTTATATTAGAATCTCTATTCATGTTTTGTGTACAATTTAATCTATAGTACAAGAAAGGTACCAGGATTCACCTCATGCTAGTAGCCAGACACAAGGCACACATCGAGGGAACTTACCAGTGATAGAATCCACAAAATAGTGAAATTTCCTCTTGAAGATTTCCAGTGTATGTTGCAGGACCTGCTGGAAGTTTGCTTTACCCTGAGCAATAAGATTCAGTTGTTTCTCTAAAGCGCTGCGTATGGTGGGTAAAACCAGCTCAGCATCTACAAAACACACACAGCCCTGATATCAGAAAGTTAATTTGATCTATATCACAAGGTCTAATGGAAACCCCTTTTTAGTTATGCACCACAAAAGTAAGAGCAAAGGACCTATTTTGTAGTAGCCATGCACAAGGACTATGCCAAGATTTGTTGGCTTTAACTTGCGTCCACTCTCTATCGTAACATAGTTCCTCTGGCAGATGTTGTTGATGTGGACAGGAATGCTGGCATCAGTACCTGCAGAGAAGGAGACAAAATTATAAACATGAATTTTCTTGTGTTGACAGAAAATAAATTAGAAGCTTATGCTGTGTGCATTTCATTTCATCAGTTGCGTTTGATTTATTCACAGGCCAAAATCATTTGGACATTTAGATTTTAGAAATGAAAACTTATTAGTGGTTATTAAAACTTAAATCATATCTGTATAGATCAGTGTTTTTCAACCATGGGGTTGTGACACCACGTCGGGTTGCCTGAAATTCAAACATGTAATTGATGAAAAAAAAGGATACATTTTTTTAACTAGTTATTATTATTATTTAAATTATGATTAAAAACACACACAAGTCGTTTAAATAAAATGAAGCATATAAAAATATTTGAGCCGGCACGTCTTGATATGACTCTGGGGTCGCCAGAAATGTGTAATGTCAAAATGGAGTAACAAACTAAAAAATATTAGGAACCACTGGTATAGATTGTATAATAGCTATGCTATTAGATTCATGTCCCAAGGATCGTTTTTTTCTACTGATATACTATCTGCTACACATCTGGGACGTGTACCAATGCCATGCTTCTCCATAAGTGTGATGAGTTCGGCCTCAGTCAGGTAGTCTGGAGGGTTGGTCTGCTTTTCTATCAATTTGATCTCCTCTACTATAAAGGAATCCCCACGGTCACAGTTAGGCATGGCTTCTTCCAGAGGGATGCCCTGCCAATTCATCACTGTTGTGTAACCTGCAAATACACAGAAATTTGCAAGAGCATGTAGCCCAACTTTAAAACTGCATACAATTAACAGGTGTCTTCATCAGGAGCTTAATTGATGTGAAGTGTGAAGCTGAGCCAATGTCAGTACCTGGTGAGATCAGGGTTTTTCCACTACATGAAAAGGCCTCAGTGCCAATGTTGAAGTCTATTGTGGTCTGTAGGTACTTGCAGTCTTGACTGACAGTAGCGATGAAATGCCGTGTGATGTATTCGTACAGACGCCAACCATCACTGCCTGTGGGAGTGAACAAAGTGAGAGAACTTTCGTAAGTGGCAGAATTCATCAAATGTTCAATTTGTGGTCCAAGATCCATAGCCTTTCCCAAGTATGGGTCACTGCACAGCACTATGGCATACCAAACATATAAAAATAAGAGAAGGACTATTTTAACCCCAATACCCCAAAAATTAAATGTTGAACTGCTGAATTATGTTAAAATGTCTTCTTAATGTTTACATTTATCCTGAGGTTTACAGTAATTTTGACAGTAATTGCTTACATACACATCACATTTGGACCTCAATGTTTACTTTTTTGTACCAGTAAATATCATTAGAGGTATTTCTACCTCTAAAAATGTAAATATTTCCTCACTGCTGTAGTTTTCGGACAATTGAAAAACTCAATGTCCTCAATCTCTCATTTTTGCACAAATTGTAAATAAAGTCATTCTATTTTATTGTATTCTATGCCAGAGGTTTAACTGTTATTTCCACAGCTGCAGTGCTCACCCAGTTCCCCCTCTGAGGCAGCACGCATTGGAGTGATGGGTGGATGATCTCCTGCATCATTTCCTTTCCTGGGTCGGTTTATTCCGGTTGAAAGCAGAGTCCTCACCTGATATGTTAAAAATGTATTTTAAGAAACCATCTCTCACATGCGAACACCATCCTCAAAAATATATTTTATTTTTATATATCAGTATCTCTCACCTCTTCTGACCAATATGGATTGTTGGTCTGCTGCTTCAGAGTTCCTTTTAGATCGAAGTTCTCAGGATAGTGGGTGGTCTCAGTACGAGGGTAGCTGATGTATCCCTGAGTGTAGAGACGCTCTGCAATCTGCATGGTGTGTTGAGGGCCCATGCCTGAGGTCAAAGGTGAAACACCAAAAAACACTTTATTTATGACAAATAAATGCAAAATAAAAGCAGAGTAAAAGACCACTGTTTATTATGAGATGATGAGATGTAAAAAAAACCTAAAGCAGAGCTGGCGACTCTCAACATCTCCACTGTGTTCAAGGCCTGGGGTCTCTGTTTGACCTTCTCTTTCTTACTCACTGACTCCACCTGTGAAAGTGAGAGAAAGTGAATGCAAACTTTAGTCCTGTCAGCTGTAACTTGACGCAAAACTTTCCTTATTGGAACATATAATTTAATGGCAATAAATGAAACAATCTAGAGCTGTTTTCATACCTAGTACTGTTGTTCTAGGTCAAAGTACTACAACTACTGTAAACACATACTGGCCAATTTCAATGTGCATCCAACCAGATAAGTTTTTGAACCACTGTCAGATTTTGACTTGAGAATAATGAGGGAAATATTGAATGTAGCACAATAATCTAATTAGAACGAAGACAATCACTGCAGTCTTAATCTGGGAAAGTTTGATTTCCTCTCTTACCTGGGCTTCCCTTGATGTCTTGGCCAGGTTTACAAACATCTGACCAACCTCCTTGTCAAAGACCCTGACTCTGTTCCAGTCCAGTGTTAGTGTGATGTCCTTTCCCTTAAACACCTGATGAAAACACCACATATCTGTTATTAAAGACAGAGAAACACAGAGATTTTTGACACAACATAAGAAGGGAGAGACACAGAGATCTTCACCTTAGCCTGGATGATCCAGTAGGTTTCTGGTTTAAAAGACTGGATCTTGTCATGACGTTCCACACAGAAACCTAGTGTCGGGGTCTGACATGGTCCAAATGAGATTAAGGAAGAGTCTAAATTACCGTACTTGCCCTGAAAGTACTTGGTCTGGAACCTACAAAAACATATGGCACAAAAATGAATTATGTCCTCAACAGTCTTAAAAAACCTGAATGACAAAGGAATTTGAATAAGGACATGAAGGTGGATTGGCCGCCATAGCTTCAGTGAGGTGGCCGGAATTCAGGTGTCAACAGGTGAATGGCAATCAGAAAAAGTGTTAACAAAAATCCATTATCTATATAAGTGGAATCAGATAATGTCACAAGTCAATATATATGTAATTAAAGCTGTTTTACAGTAACTGGTATTATTGTGTCTGTGGAATATTTTTATAAGTAAGTGTGTGATGGTGGCAACTATTTTTTATTTACATTGTATTTTTGGTATAATGATTAAAATAGAATTGGAAATTAAATCGCATTTTAACTAATTCCCATACCTGGTGAAGGCACAGCCAATGCGGAGGTCCAGCTCCTGCCGTGCGTCTACTGACAACGCTTCGTTGTGGTTGGGTTCTCCCAAGGAGTTCATAGCATTCCAAATGTCAGTGTCTGTGATGGAGCTGAATTTGGCTCGGTACACAGTCTGCTCCCTGGGGTTTCCCTTGTTCATTACTGGTTGGACAGCATCCAGTACCTGGATAAATTTTGACAAATGACACAAGATCTTGCACAAAATAGTATTTGATCTCAGTTAGCCATAAAAGTAATCTACATAAATGCAATATGTTACCTCCTTTAAAGCAGGCATGTGGTGATGTGAACAATAAAATCATTAACTTCAATGTAATCAAACTGAACTAGCTATTTAGTCCAGAGTTGGTAACAAGACACACTTGGTCTTTGTTAACTTTACTGCTATGTTAAAGAAATCAGCATTGAAATAAAAAGTCTGAACTTTAAAAACCAGATTTACATGAACAAGTGAGACAGGATTGGCCAAGATTACCTCGAAACAGATATTTTCCCCTTCTTTATCACAGTCCAGCCATAAAACCACATAGTCACAGCCTCTGGCTTCGACCTGACAAGACAACAGAAAGTGACACGCACAAGATAAATACAATGTAAATATTCCTACAGAATCTAGAATGCCTATTATCTTTAATAAAACACTGAACTGAACTACCTGTAGAAACTTAACCATGTTAAGTTTTGAGTTGGCCTCCTTCTTTTCTGTGGGAGCTTTGCTAAACAGTTCTGCAGGGTCCACTTTGTCCCAGTTGTTATACTTTCCTGGAGAAAAAATAACAAAAGAAAATACAATATTCCTAAAAGGTCAGAATCGAATTGACAAATCATTACATTATTAAAACACAAATACAGGGAGTGCAGAATTATTAGGCAAATGAGTATTTTGACCACATCATCCTCTTTATGCACGTTGTCTTACTCCAAGCTGTATAGGCTCGAAAGCCCACTACCAATTAAGCATATCAGGTGATGTGCATCTCTGTAATGAGACGGGGTGTGGTCTAATGACATCAACACCCTATATCAGGTGTGCATAATTATTAGGCAACTTCCTTTCCTTTGGCAAAATGGGTCAGAAGAGGGACTTGACAGGCTCAGAAAAGTCAAAAATAGTGAGATATCTTGCAGAGGGATGCAGCACTCTTAAAATTGCCAAGCTTCT